GTGAGTACGAGGTGAACCGGAAACTTCAGATTTCCTGATCGCCACGACTACTCTGCTCTTTCTGATGTCTGCTGCTCTTTGGTTGATCCAATGCGACCCTGCCGCAGCAAGCCTCGCAAATAGCATGGTGTTAGCAAGCAGCAAGAACTGTACCTATGCCAGCAATCGAAAGAGCAAACCTTGTGTTTAAAACCGGCTCCTACAAGGAGCAGTAGCAAAGAACACAGATATAGATGTGTGTCGCATTTTTGGAAATGCTGATGATTCAATCGCTGCAAGCTGCAGTTACGAGCAGGAGAACGACAAGCTAGCAACGTTCATTGCAACACTTTGAGAATGATAGTGCGGACGACGGAATATGCGCTGCAATCTGCTCGTCTCGAGAACCTGATGGAGGAATGTCCCTTTAAGCTCTTGTTTTGCCATCTGAATTAAAAAACCAGCGCATGTATCATGCACACTTTTTAAAGCCAAGGGCCTTCATGATGATTTTGTCCCGCTGAGAAGCCAACTCCGTAGCGACAGCATCCAACCTTCGCTAGCCGTGCTTAGACATCGTGGTCATCGCCATCTCAGTCATCATGGTAGTGGCAGTAGCAGTGGCAGTGACAGTTGCAGTAGCACTAGAAGTAGCAGTAGCAACAGCAGTAGCAGTAGGCGGAGGAGGAGGAGGAGGAGGACTCGCACTAGTAGTTGTTCCTGTCGTCGTCGTTGTAGTAGTCGTCGTCGTCGTTGTAGTAGTAGTAGTAGTGGTAGTAGTAGCAGCAGCAGCAGCAGTACTATAGCAGTAGCACTAGCCGTAGCCGTAGCCGCAGCGCCAGCAATTGCAACAAGCACCAGTAGCAGCAGCAGCAGCAGCAGCAGCACCAGAAAGACGAGTAGCAGCAGTAGTAGTAGTAGTAGTCGTCGTAGTAGTAGTAGTAGCAGTAGTAGTAGTAGTAGTAGTAGTAGTAGTAGTAGTAATAGTAGTAGCAGTAGCAGTAGAAGTAGAAGTAGTATCGAAGCAGTAGAATCTGTAGCAGTAGCAGCAGCAGTAGCAGTAGTAGCAGTAGTAGCAGTTGTTGTTGTAGCTGTAGCGGTAGAGGAGTAGGAGTAGTATGTTAATAGAAGCAGTAGTAGTAGGAGTAGTCGTCGCAGTAGTAGTAGTAGTAGTAGTAGTAGCAGTAGCAGTAGTAGTAGTAGTAGTAGTAGTAGTAGTACTAGTACTAGTACTAGTACTAGTACTAGTAGCAGGAGTGGTAGTAGTAGTAGTAGTAGTAGCAGCAGCAGCAGCAGTAGTAGTAGTAGTAGCAGTATCCGTAGTAGTAATAGTAGTAGTAGTAGTAGCAGTAGTAGTAGCAGCAGTAGTAGTAGTAGCAGTAGCAGTAGCAGTAGTAGTAGCAGTAGCAGTAGCAATAGCAGTAGGAGGAAGAGGAGGAGGAGAAGTAGCAGTAGCAATAGCAGTAGGAGGAAGAGGAGGAGGAGGAGAAGTAGCAGCAGCAGTAGCAGTAG